TGGAACAGTATTAGCCGTTTCTTTTCTAAACAAACAGGAGCAATGTCGACACTGGTTGAATGAATACACAGAGTTCAGTTGTATTACAACAGTGAGAAGCAACTGGTTAAACAAATATTGCTGTGTGACAACATTTGTCCCTAAGAGCACATTTCAATTCCGTTATGTTCCATATAAAACGTATACTCGTTTTGTTTGTCACATTAAAATAATACTGAGAAATAAAAAATAAACCTTGTAACACAGAGTAAAAACATTTGGCGGGGCAACACTGAAATGGAAATTACAAAATGTATCCCACTGATTAGAGTCAAATGCAATAATATTTTTACAGCGTCGGAATGAATGTTTTCCGAGAAATATTCTTTGAAAACCGTTCTTTTAATTTGTTTAAAACTGGTAAGTCCATATTTTTAATTTCACCCTGGTGTACTGCAACACTGACTCTCACAACATATGTTCCATAATGCTCTGTAGTACTAATAACTTGCACAACGCGGTGTATTTCTATGACTGGTTCAATTCAACGCGAGTGGAGGATCTATTTCTTTTATTGCTAGTGGGGTGGGACTAAGTCTTTTGTACTGAGGCCACTTCTGGCCTATTGTACCGGCCCAAGATGATAGGTGAGGGTGATTGTGGAGCAATTGGTGGAATGAAGATTGGCAGGGGAAACCGAAGTACTCGGAGAAGATCTGCCCCAGCGTCACTTTGTCCACCACAAATCCCACTTGACCAGACACGGAATGGAACCCGGGCCACCGCGGTGGAAAGCCAGCGACTAACCGCTTGAGCTATGACGCGGACCTTGAGTGGAGTATCTAACTATAAAGACTGGGTAGTGCAACTATTATTTTATTACATAAGACCATACCGGCATTCGTCTTACGTCATTTTAGAAATCCATTACAATTCCTTGTTTGTTGAACCGCCAGGATCATCCTGCCGTCGAACAAGATGCTTCAAGCGGTAATATTTGGGAAGTAACTGTTTCGAATCTCGACTACGACACTGAATATCCTGATATTATTCAAGGTTTTTTTCAGTTCCTCCAGGAAAATGCAGAGATAGTTAGGCCACGATCATTCCCTTCAACCTATTGCAGCGTGTAGAGCCGTTTCTAGAAAACGTCTCCGTAAACACGTTCCCGCGGCCACAGATATACATGCAGCAATAGAGGTACTGTTGGAAACGGTATTTTCTACTTGATCCGTGCAAATGGGTTATAAGGAAGACAGTGGAAGCAACAATATGCAGTTGGAAGGGAGCCGCCGTTCAGAGAGGATTTGAGTAAGGAAGCAGAGGAATAGCCATTGTTGGAACCGTTACCAGGAGACGTATAATAACAGATTGAGAACACGAGTCTGTGTGCTCTAGTGATTTGTAAAGTGTGGAAATGAGCGATAGCGTTATACTTAAGTGTAATTACGAGTTATGTGTTAAAGTGGTCAATAAGTCCAATATCCAATCCAAAATTCCATCTGCAATCACTCTAACACCTGACGCTACTTTCAGATTCATTACTCGCCTATTACCCAATAATTTCACATCACTAATATGTAGCTTAGCCGGTCACGGTAGCCGAGCGGTCTAAGGCATGCACTGTCTTCGCTCGCTCGGAAACCGAGATCGTGGGTTCGAATCCCACTCAGGGCATGGATGTTTGTGTGCGTTTTTCTGTGTTTGTCTACAGGTAGAGGCCTTGCGACGAGCTGATCACTCGCCCAAGGAGTCCTGCCATATGTGTAAGATCTAGTAAACCGAAGTGAAACGGAGAGTTTCATGGAGGTACGCCCAGGCCCAAATTGGGGCTGTAGCGCCACAGGAAAAGAATATATATAGCTTAAGATAAGAAACCTTCAGGGGGCACATTCAGGAGAGTAGTTGGTTGAGGCACTGTGCTACAAGCGATGAGGCGGACTATGACCCTGGGGTCGACTCAACCTCTAATAGATATGAGTACCAGGAATATTCTTGGGGGTAAAGGACGACCGGCGCGTAAGGCTGACAACCTTACGGCCATCCATGAGGCGATTGTCTAGAAAATGTGGGAAACCTCAACATCTCACAACCCTATGGGCCTCCATGGTCTGTTACAGGGATAGCTTTACTTTTTACTTTTGCCTTTTACAATTAGGATTGCAGAGAGAGGAAGTGTCTCCAATACTCTTTCCTACTACCTCGAGTCTCACCTGCTATAAGTAACGAGGCTCTGGGGACCGAGTCGTGAACGTACAGTGATTCCCTCAAGATTGTGACAAACACCACTTCAAGAACTGTCCAAAGAGAAATTTACAAGTACACGTAACATCTTTATGCTCCACCCACTACGCGAACAGGGGTTCTTCATCGTCAGTTAGGTCATCACTGGATAGTTACCAGATTATGCTTTGAACATGATTCTGGTATCCCCGAGCCTGTAGGAAATTCGAAAATACAAGCCTTGTATCGGACTTTTCTTCCGTAAAGCTGCTTACACAAGATATGACCTACGCCGTTCATATAACGAATGATCTTCACCAGCGAACTGGCCGATTCTTGGCCATCAGCCAATCAGCAGAGCAACAACGTGGTTTCAAGTGAAACTTTATAATCGATCGCCAACCATCCTACACATTTTTATCTCTGTTATGCAGGCAAGTAGGCGCAATTAAGGTTGCAAATGTGGTTAAATCTGAAACACGATTAAGCCTGCTACTTTAAAAATCCAAGTTTAAACATGGATTTCCGGGGAAACTAATCATCTGCTTCCCTTTCACTACAATCTGCGTTACTGGTGCAAGTAGCAAGAACTTTATTTATGTACGCGTAATGAAGTCTACTGGCTGTTTATGTAGATACCATAAAGAAAAGCATACAAACTTTAACTGACGCAAGTAAAGAGGTTGGTCTAGAAGTAAACACTGAGAAAACTAAGTGTATGTTACTGTCTCGTCACCAAAATGCAGGGCAAATTCACGACATAAAGATAGGAAACAGATGTTTTGAAAATGTGGCACAGTTCAGATATTTGGGAACAACGATAACAGATCGAACCTGATTCAGGAAGAAATTAAGAGGAGATTGAACTCGGGTAATGCTTGCTACCATTCAGCCCAGAACCTTTTGTCTTCTCGTCTGCTGTCCAAAAACATAAAAATTAGAATATACAAAAATGTAATTTTGTCTGTGGTTCTATATGGGTGTGAAACTTGGTCTCTGACATTAACGGAGGAACATGGACTGAGGGTGTCCGAGAACAGGGTGTTGAGGAGAATGTTTGGACCGAAGAGAGATGAAGTGGCAGGAGGTTGGAGAAAACTGCATAATGAGGAGCTTCATAACTTGTACTCTTGTCCAAGTATAATTAGAATTATCAAGTCAAGGAGGATGAGGTGGGCAGGACACGTAGCACGAATGAAGGAGAGAAGGAATGCATATAGAATATTGGTGGGGAAGCCAAAAGGAAAGAAAACACTGGGAAGACCAAGGCGTAGGTGGAACAATATTAAAATGGATCTTAGAGAGGTAGAATGGGATGGCATGGATTGGATTGATCTGGCTCAGGATAGGGACCAGTAGAAGGCTCTTGTGAACACGGTAATGAACCTTCGGGTTCCATAAAATACTGGGAAATTCTTGAGTAGCTGCAGAATTGGCGACTCCTCCAGAAGGGCTCAGCTCCATGAGTAAGGAAGCAATGCGTAATGAAGTCAATGAAACAATAAATCGATTTTATGGAGCCTTGACTCCGCATGTAATAATTAAGTTTAAAGCTGTAAAGTTGTCGCCAATGTCAATATTTGAATATAATACCACAAAATCCTAAAGAGTTGCTTACCCACAATAATTTCACGCCTTCCTATATGACCATGTGTTATCCTGCGTAAACCAGATTACAATAATTCTATGGCAACAGCTATTAGAATGCACAATGTTACAAAATATTTAATTAAATTATTTGAAATCGTGAAACCATGGTCCTTTGTTGGTTTGAAACTGTAACTTTATTTTTACTGTATTCCGATGGCAGAATTTCTCACACTCAAAATATGTCCATTATGAGACTGTAAGTGGTATCATATCCGTGAAATGAAAATGTAATTAAAATCAAACTTAAGGCTTCCACTTCAAGAATTTTGGTGGTCGTTGTCTTGTTATTACTAGAGGAAGGAATTTGTGAATACTGTTGAAAGGACGTCATGTACCAAGATCCATGACAGTCGGTTCAACATTCAAGTAACTTTAAGGTTAATACGTCAACAGCTTCAGAGGATGTAGCGTTGGTAGTACTGATAGGAGGGATGTACGAGTCATGCCGCTGACATGGTCTCGGGTGGCATGACATACATACCAAGTTTCATAAAGATCGGTTAAAGTTTTCAAAAATTGTCAGGGGGGGGGATACACACACAGAAAGGCAATTTCATACGCCTACTTTTATGTTTTTAAAATAAGCAAAATAACTATCCTGCGATTGTAGATTATATTAAAACACGATAAATTATTTATGTAATGAACACATTGCATAAAGTTATAGTCCAAGTAAAGGTCAATTTTTCCAACTTTCCCAAAAGTACGGGTCTTACGTGCATGCATCAAGAAGAACAGTTACTACTTTAAACAGATTACTGTGCGAAATACGTCAATATTTCAATCGCTCTCTCTCTCTCTCTGACGAACAATCCACAAAAATAACATGAAGTCATATCATGTAGTTTGTGCTGAAACTGTGGAGACATCTGTACAAATTGTGTGGTGTGGGTACATATGACAAACCAACATATGCACGCATACATATGTATATATACATATATCTGGTTTCATAATTTTATAAATGCATTTTTCGTGAATGTAGGTCTGTCTTTTCCGTTAAATCCTGAACGATATTGTTAAATGTATGTGATTTGAAAGTTACTACAAGGCAGTAACTTTCATACACTTCACCAAACGCATGACACGCACTACTGGTTTTATAACTAGGACTGCTCCTTAATAATAAAATGAAATCTTCAACTTACCTTCCTCCTGTGTAGATGGTTGGTCCTGCTTTGTCTCCATGCTCGATATCTCGTTCACCACGTGATTTCCTGTAGAAGACACCACGATCTTTTTCTTGGTCCTCTTCTTCTGAAGACCTTGTAGTAGATTAGCAGTTGCTGTGCTAGCGGTAGACACAGCGGTCACCAGAAACTGCGGTGCTACTGTGAATATAGTAACCCGACTACCACCACTTCCTCGCAAATCACTTCCTTCACCACTAGCACTACTACCACCACGATTACCACTTCCTGACAACGTTGGTGCAGATGATGTTCGCATGGATGGAGGCGACGCCGACGCTGACGTCACAATTAATGCGCAAGCTCCACGATTCACAGCCGTGTTGGTCGCACTGTCGTCACAGCTGCTCATTAAGGCCGCGTCTTTCAAACTGCCCCGACGTGACGGTACGCGCCGTGTCTTGACGATAGCGACGCACTCGCTCGACCGGCGCTGATGGCGATCTGTGGAACACAAGTATCGCCTACATCAATACTACACCTCGACACAGACTTGTCACTCACAGAACGGAATCTACTGTCTCTGATTGGCGATGCAAGGATAACAGTTCCCTTGGCATCCTTACGCAACAGACTGACTTCGGATATATTAAATGATGCTATGAAATGAATCCAAACTCTTCAACAAAGTCATAACATACATATGTGTACAGTCATTTCAGAGTATTTACAAATAATTATCTGGAAACAGGGGTAACATACAGAACGACGTTCATGATAAAGATGGTGAACAATAAATACTCTATGTAAGATTTGAGGTTTTCTCGGCGGTGACTATGAAGAAAGTCGTCTTCTGGGACGTGGCGCTGTGTAGAAACTGTGTGAACCGACGTTTCCGAGGAACATATCACCTCCATCTTCAGTCTGTTGCACGTGCTCTGCTGGTTCGCTCGCGGATTTCTTATTGTCTTCTATCCTGAAGATGGAGGCGATACGTTCCTCCGAACGTCGGTTGACACAATTTCTACACGGCGCCACATCCCAGAAGATGGCTTTCTTCAATATATACTCTAAATCACTGCTACCATTTATTTCCAAAATGTGCCTCCCGTGTACTCTCTAAAACGGCGAATACTGTGGGATATGCACAACAAGAATTTCATCATTTGTTCTGTATGATTATAAACCGAAATCTTACTTAGAGGAAAGAATATTGCAAATACCTGAAAAATTTTCAAGCAAATATATGAAACTAAAACGCATGGAGTAAGAGCAATTCAGGCATATCTCATATTTTTCTATGTCTATGAGGTTACAATGGTTAAACTTGTGACTATAATGGGACATACAAGAAATGCACAAGGAATTTTGGTTGGAAAACATCCTAGAAACTACCATTTGCAAAGTTAGGAGCTGGGAGGATACAATTAAGATGAAGCTTAGGGAGATATGGTATACTGTGGGCATGGGAGGTGGATGGAACTGGCTCAGGATAGTGTCCGGTCACAGGGTTTGGTATTAGCGGTGTTGAACGTTCGCTTCTGCAAAACATTGTTTCCTAATTAACCGTGAAATTATATGAAGATGTATGTTACTGAACGCGTATGTGGTACGGTAATGAACGTAGGTTCGTGGCCTGCTCTGAAATAATGTACCACCAGTTGCGTGAAGGGACTGAAACATATCATAAACATCGCGAATCCTAGCCATTACATCGCGGCGTTTAGATACTTGTCTGCGTCACACACCTACTCCTTCAGGTTCTTCGTGATTTTCCTCAATCCCTCTAGAGAAATTCCAGGGTAACACTTTAATTAATCCATGACGTGTTCCTTCTATATCCTTCCAATTTGTTATTCACCATCATCTAATCAATCAACCAGTCAGTCATTCGATACTATATAGTCTAAGTTTCTGTCAATGTCAGTGAAAATTCCAGCCGACAGGAATAACTCGAATGACATAAATTCTGAAGGTACTCGATTCAAATCCGGACCGAGATATTACATGATGATTGCGGTCATTTGCGGCTTTCCTCAGTCATTTCAGGCGTACGGTAGAGTAGGTCCCCACATCCCTCTGAATTCAATCTTCATAAACTTCATTTCAAGTCATTCAACACAGAGTTCATATTCTGTCTTTTGTAAATAGCCTTTTTGATAGAGAAGAAAAAGATTCAATAACACTCATACCAAAGCCCGCCACTGGACACAACCCTGAAACTGCTCCATCTTCCTCCTCACCTCACAACCTAGTTCCATCCTCCTCCTCCTCTCACATCCTAGTTACGTTCTCCTCCTCACCTCATAGCCTAGTTCCATCCTCTTCCTCAGCTCACAACCTAGTTCAGTCCTCCTCAGCTCACAACCTAGTTCCATCCTCCTCCTTAACTCACAACCTAGTTCAGTCCTCCTCATCTCACAACCTAGTTCCATCCTCCTCCTCAGCTAACAACCTAGTTCAGTCCTCCTCGTCTCACAACCTAGTTCCATCCTCCTCCTCAGCTCACAACCTAGTTCCATCCTCCTCCTTAGCTCACAACATAGTTCCATCCTCCTCCTCAGCTCACAACCTAGTTCCATTCTCCGCCTCAGCTCACAACCTAGTTCCATCCTTCTCCTCAACTCACAACCTAGTTCAGTCCTCATCTCACAACCTAGTTCCATCCTCCTCCTTAGGTCACAACCTAGTTCCATCCTCCTCCTCAGCTCATAACCTCGTTCCATCCTCCTCCTTACCTCACAACTTATCTCCCAGAGTCCCTGTCTAGGCTCTTCCTTGCCAGTACATTTGAGGTGCCTGGGAAGATAATGTGAAAATGGGGGCCTAAGGATACTTCTCCTTCCCCGTCTTCGTGATTTTTCTAAGACGGATCTCCAGCAAAGCATCCGGTGCACATTCCTTGTTCCCTTAAAATTGTTATAACAGTGTCATTACGAACATTCTACCTCTCCCCAACCCCCTCTGCATGCCTGCCTACACCACTCGCACAAGTTGTCACATGTTAGCTCTCGCTCTATCTCCTGCCTTCGCGTTCACAGTTTGTTACCGGTGCTG